GAGGCAGTCCGGACAGAGTCGCGTTCAGACAATTACTACTAAACCTGATAGTTCGTACTAACACTTTCTACTTCTCTGTATATATTCCTGTTTGTAATATATCTGTGTTATTCAAAATCCGTGTTCGAGTTCTTCTTTATTGGTTCTACCTTGGACCATCACCGTGGTACAAGGAACCGGACCATTACAGAAACAAAACTAAAAAAAAAAAAATTAAATTAAAATAAAAAAATAACACATCTATTTAAACCAAAGAATATGTCATAAAGCACTGGAACTTACTCAAAAGGTACTCTACGAGTCATTCATTCCATTTATCCTAACAAAGATTCCTGTTCATTTCCTGCAATCTCCGGTGGCAAGAAAAGCAACTGGTTTACCTGTTGGCGGTATAAAATTATAGGATACCAAAAATGTCTTGCAGTGGATTTTCGTTTTTTTTTTTGTTTTTTTTTAAGTAATGGCACCATCATAGTTTTAATCTGGAGAAGAACTGGGCATAGCAATAAAAAGAAAAGATCCAAGTTAAGAAAGCTGCACACAAAATCATTGAATATTAATGACTCATCAAAAAACAAAGATGAAAATTAAAATATACTTCATCCTAGCATTTTGTGTTAGCGTTTGAGAAATCAACCACATGTAATTTAAGATAAGAAATCGTAAAATGTTTATAGGACAGGAAATGTAGCCGTTTTGTTTTACGATCTAAGCAGGAAAAACTTTGTGAATAATTGCTGCTTCTAATCTTTTATCTTTTTTTTTATCTTCGTGAAATGTCATGAGTTTTCTTTGTAATCAACAAAAACTTAATTAAAGCAATAATTACCTCCATTTAAAAAAAAAACACGGCCGAAACATTTCAATTAATCCTATTCAACATCATGTATCAATTCAACACGTGTACGTGACAGAAAAAAAGAAACGTTTTTAAACGCTGATTGGAAATTATTTTCTTAATGATTTTTTAATTGCGCATATTCTTTTTTTACAGTAGCGCTTTCTCTAGTGTTATCTGGCTAACTTACACGAAGGTTTGTTCTTTCTTTCTTTCTTCCTTCCTTCCTTTCTTTCTTTCTTTCTTTCTTTCTTTCTTTCTTTCTCGGTCTGTTCATTATCTATCTATCTATCATGTCATGTCCATATCTATCTATCTATCTATCTATCTATCTATCTATCTATCTATCTATCTATCTATCTATCTGTCACGTCATGTCCATATCTATCTATCTATCTATCTATCTATCTATCTATCTATCTATCTATCTATGTCAGTTCATTATCTATCTATCTATCTATCTATCTATCTATCTATCTATCTATCTATCTATCTATCTAATAGTTCTCTAAGTATCTGTCTTAGTTTATATAACCAAATGTCTTAAGTCTTTCACGTCAAGTATTCGTGAGATAGTCTTAACTTACATAAATATAAACAAATAAATATGTAATTACTGTCTGAATTTCTGGGATGAGGAGTTGTCATTATTTATACTATATTCAAACTATTTATCTCGCCTTTGTTGTTGCGATCACAACGTTTCGGCCATTGATCCCCACGGTCTTCTTCAGGTGTATATCGATTCGACTTACAGGGATCGATATACATCTGCTGAAGGCCGGAAAGTCACTCCAAGTAGAGAGCTAGAGATTAAGAGGTACAGTTTATGGGGATGTATGGGGAAGATAACGGTTGACCTTGGATTGAACAGGTTCACATAGTTGTGATCGGGGAAACATCTTCTTGGGAGTTGGTTCCACAAAGCAGCGATTCGAGAAAAGAGGCTTTTCAGGTAGAACTTACATCTCGCTAATGGAATATGAAGGAAATGAAGGTGGTTCGTTACAATGTGTGTGGCATAACTGACCTTAGCCGTAAAGGTTAAACTAAGAAATTTAGTTTGTCTGAATTCTTTCTTTTGTGATGTCAACGAACACTCGTTGTCACTTTCGTAATGCTCGTTGTACTAGAGACTTTGTAATCGTAGATACAACTATAGTACGCCGTTGAACAATACTGGTGTCAGACGCCTTCGAATAGCACTCGCACTAATAGTACTTCGATAATACTCGCTCGAAAAGTAATCCGTATAGTCATCCGAATAGAGAAATCGTATAGAGAAATAGTATAGTGTATAAAGTAGAGAATAGTGGTCCGTATGGTAATAGAGGATAGACTAGAAATAGCGATCCGTATAGTGATAGAGAAGAAATAGCGATCAATTAGACAACACGCGACTTCCTACTTATGCGTTTCCTCTATGGTCACGTGGTCAATAATGGGATCGTCTGTGTTTGCTCACTGGCGATCTATGTTCAAACTGAAGTGTCGACAGCGACACTTTATTCCTATAAAACGCTAAAAAAGTGTCGCTGTTGACATGGAAATAGTGACAGAGAAGCGAGGCGCTTGCAATGTGGGAAAGGAGTTGAAAATAATTCATCATCTCCAAGACGCGGAGACACGTTTTGAACTCTATCAAGACTGGGAAGTGGTGACAATCATATCCTGTCCATATATGACAGCAGTACTCCATTTTCGCCCTGATCTCGCGCTTGTAAGGGTAGAGGATAGCAAGAGTCAGGTACTAGAGCGGTATAGAGAACCGACCATTTTTCCAGCATCATTCGCACGTGCTAAGATCAAATACGTAATGGAATATAAGATTATGCTTTTGCTGTAAAATAGGGCAAGTTTTTGCTGAGGTTGGGGGAAACGCTTAGCCTATTGATCACTTACTTACGGGGTAATAGACAGAGAAGGGAAAATGGCGGGTCGAAACAGAAATAAAACTGAGTAATGACTAGTGAGGCCGTTGTCTCAGAAATCACCGCACGGCAGTCGACACGCAACTTCCGGAACAAAGTTCTCAAAGGGTCCGTCTCACAAGACACAGAGTCCAGAGTCTCACTAACTGCCCATTGCTGATTTTCCCGTCGCTTTTATTGACACTAGACAGATGACAAAGACCCGGATCTGGATAAGTTGCAGAGAGGCCTATATCTGGATATGTCAAGTTGTTCTTTTGCTTAAGGGGACAACCCAGATGTGACTAGCGTCTACAGACATGTCCACACGCGACATGTCCATAGGTTTTCTTTTACGTCTCTACTGACACGCGTTCGATACAATAGATTACTGTTTTACTGGTATAATTATGAGTATTTATGAGTAGATGGGAACTATTGCCTAAGATCAGTTTAGTATTTGTGCACTCTACCTAGAACTGACAGTGTTAATTCTGGATCTGAGTGTAGTATCTGTGCGAATCAAAGTATCACTCCGGATTATCTAAATCTGATGAGAGTGTAGTATCTGCTCAACTTAATATTTTCAAGATTGTCTTGGTGGATATGTCGCATGTCTTCTTAACTCGATGTCAAACGTTCAGATCATGGTAGAATTCGATTGTTAATTTCACGTAATTTTCACGTATTGGCCTGGTAAAAGTTAAGGACACTGAACACAAGAAACAGGCAGAAAATAATCATACTGTTTGTAAAAACGACATTTGCGTTTAATACAGTCACGAATATCTCCCAAATTTCACGATTTCTTCTTTTATATACTATGTCCATTCAGGAAATCACAATCATGGCTCTCTACAACTTCCTATCCTTTTTAGTTCTAAGTAACTTTTGTCTCCTCCCAATTCATTACTTGACATTTCTATCTTCTTGTCTTGCCTTCAATATGTCCTGAGTGTATCACATTTTCTAAGCCCACTTTCCTTTCCTCATTATGCGTCCTCGAAATTCCATCTCTCCCTGTCTGATTATAAATATGATATATTTTATATTTTATTTCCATTTTCCTTAAAACTCTTGCTCACATATGCTGTCTGCGGTATTCTTAAAACCTGTCTGTAAAGTCACATCTTTTGCTTGAAATCTTGAATAAAATTGTCCAGCATTTATTGCCATACAGAAGAAATGTTATTACACAGCAGTTCAATAACCCTTTCTTTGCTTCTAGTGAAATTGTCATGTATATTAATACTTTGTTTAGCTTCTGAAAGGCTTCTTTCGTCTTGGTGTGAATATCAATAGTAATTCACTAAGATAATTTATGCGATTTTTTAATACGACAAGATAAAGGGAAGACAAAAAAAGGAAAGTGATTTCTGACTGAAATTACTTGAAAAACAACATCTCTCATCACCAACGACAGCGACAGTAATAACCAGTGTTAATCGAAAACTGGCGTCAAAGGCTGGACGAATTTGATAGGGTCAAATGTCATCGACACCTCAATGATTCGGATAGAACATACGAAAACCTAGACAGACAAAGATCAGAGCATGACCCACAAATCGATAACGGCGCGTAAGAGGCCAAATTTCATAATAAAAGACTCTAGAAAAGTGCAGAATTCCGAGAGGTGAGATAGGAATTTGCGATGTTTCAAATAATGACAAGCAGTCTTTGAAAATAAACATTCATTCTGCCCGCAAGGAGCCGATGTTGAGGGCAGACAAGGCAGAAAGCTCGAAATGATCTTTGATATTTTGGAAATACATCAAATTCTGATATAGTATTCGGTTTAGAATTATGTTAATATCGATTTTATCGATGGTTTGAAGTGGTCAATTTTTAGCGTCTTAATAATGGTTAATTTATTAGAAATTGTTTATATAAACCGGACTTAACGTAGGAGTGTTCTTAAAGTGATACAACTTATCCAACCATGGCCATCAGCAGTCAGTGAATCCATCAATTTATTTATCTTTATCAATGTGTCTGGATATGTTTATCTCGGTTTGTCTACCTGTGGATTTATTTAGACATTGACCCAGCGTAGTCAGGCCTTGGGACCAAATAGATGATAGAAGGGAACCTGTTTGCCTTGTAAATCAAAATTCAAAACCCTAACTTTTGACTATACTTAATCCCCGACGGTTGGCATCAGTAGGAAATATGTAGCTACCTCAACCACCAGGTAAGAATTCATTTATCTGTGTGTAATAAGATATTTGCTAAGCACAAACTGACTTTGGGCTAACGGCCATATCACGCTGAAACACAGGTACTTATACGATCACCGAAATTAAGCAACGTCGAGCCTGGTCAGTACTTAAATGGGGATGACCGCTTGGGAATACCAGGTGCTGTAAACTTGGATGTGTGGATAGTTACAATTCTGTGTCGGGTTTGTTATATTTATTTACGAACAAATATCCTTAGAAAAGGTACGAATTCACCTCTTCTCCTCCAGCTATGGGTTAATTAGTAGAACTTGTATCAATAAAATCATCATTATCTAAAAAAAAAATCTAACAATCTAAAAATATTTTCTGGCTTTAGATAACCTGCATAAGCGTGGCGAACAGTAAAAAACAACAACAAATCAATCAAACTACTTTTGTTGTAAATTGAACCCGGTTCTTTGATTCCATTTTCCACTCTGTTAACCATCACGTCAACTTTTACACCTTGCAGGGGGTAAATAAATAATTGAACAAAATATATGGGAAATAAAAAAAATAAATAATTAGAATAAAAAAAAAATATTTACCAAAATTCAGGTCGCTATATGCCGAGAGTCAGTTCTTACATAAATACAAATTAATGACTATATAATTACATGAAGGTAAGATTTATACCGTATAATTACACAAAATCTCACTTATATAATAACAAGCTCATGACGATATAATTACATAGTTTATAAATTAATTAGTAAATGATCGCTCTCGTTATGTAGTGAGCACGATCTTTTTCCATAGATTTTGCTCGACTTACGGCAGCATACGTCCGCGTCGATAGGGACTTCCTCTTCTCATTCATTAAGAACAACCTTCCAAGTTCCGAATCCACGTCGATCTAATAGAGGAACTATATCAGTCTACCAAACCTTATATGTATGGCGAGGGGCCCAATACAGAAACATTTCAATCTTCATCAGGGGCACGACAAGGAGAGAGAGAGAGAGAGAGAGAGAGAGAGAGAGAGATTATTATATATATATATATATAATATTTTTCTTGTTGTTGTTGTTCTATGGAAAGGTCAGTGGCTCACCATAATTCCCTGTCCTTCATAGCTTTAAATTTCCTCTTTTTGCCATCTCACTTAAACTCTATTCTCTGATCCATTTACTCAAAATAGACATTTCAATTGTTTCGTCCTGATGCCAAGCATCATTTTTATTTTCATTGTGCCTAGAACTTTGTCGTTGCTCACATGTTCGGGTCCATAGTATTCTCAGTATTCTTCTATAGCTTCACGTCTCTACTTAATATGTGAGGAAATTGTCCAGCATTGAATGCCATATAGAAGGATTGATACTACGTAACAATTCATTACTCTTTTCTTTATATACTAAATATATCATATAAGATTACTATACAGTTCTGTTCGATAAAAGTGACTCACCTGATTTTTTTACTTAAAGATTTTTTCGCCTATTGTTTTTGGGATCAAACTAATTTTTAATCTTACTAATATAAAAATCCCTTCCCGACCTAGTAAAAAAGTTTACTCATCCTAAGGTATTCTATTGATAATTATAATTTTGGATATAAATTAGATTTAGGGAAAAACTCTGTGCAAAAAAGTGACGCACTTATTTCCTGCAACTAGTAATCAATAGAAACATAACCGATTAGCTTTAAATAAAGAATAATAGAGGTATAATTTATTTATGATAGGTAATATAGTTCGAAATATTTAATAATCTATGGGTCCTCCTTTAATTTGAATAACCTTTTCAACCGTTTTTTGCCATTGACTTGATTAGGTTCTGGCAAATCTCATCTCCAAGCAATGAATTCCATTCGGATATGAAATTCACAATGAAATCCTCTTTGTTGCTCAACTGCTTTCTCGAGAGCCTGTAATTTATAATGCTCCATAAGTTTTCTATGGGGTTGAGGTCAGGAGATTGGGGCGGCCATGTCATAACACTCACCTGCTTCTCATCAAATTATTCCTTCATCAATTTTGATTTGTGACAGGGAGCATTATCCTGCATAAAAATGAGCTTGGTGGGGTCGATTTGCACCCTTTCAGCAGAAGGGAGCAGATAAGACTCTAAAATTCTCTTGTACTGCTCGCTCTTGAGGGTCTTTTAAATAGGTTTAAAGAAACTAGTACCATGAAAAGAAAAGCATCCCCAGAACATTCTACTGAACGGATGCTTGACAGTACTTACTTCTAAATTCAAAGAGCTTTCAAAGCTTCTTCTTCGGATTTTAGATCGCTTATCCTTTGAATTTAGCTCAACTTTCGTTTCATCGGAGAAGAGAACATTTAGTAAAAAAAATCAGATGAGTCACTTTTATCGAACAGCAATGTATATTAGATATATTATATATTAAATGAAATTACTGTAAATATTGTTTCTATAAGATTACTCTCTCTCTCTGTCTTTCTCTATGAAATATGATTTTTGTAAATAAATTAAATTTTACTTTAAAGTTTACTGACGAGTGAATACAATTACCGGAAAACTCAGTGTAGTGAGAAATTAGTTAAAAATTTATTTTATTTACTATTTTATACATGTGCCTATATATATATATATATATATATATATATATATAGAGATTAGTTAAAAATTTATATTAGAGGTTAGTTAAAATTTATTTCATTTACTATTTATACATGCGCATATATATATATATATAAAATATTATATATATATATATATATATATATATATATATATATATATAATTTCAATTATAGGTGCAATTATAATTTATAGATTCATGAATCATTCATACAAAAAACAAATATAGAGGTTAATGATTCAAATGGCGAGAATACATCTTCGCAAACAATTTCAATAAGGTACACTAACCCCGAACCTGTATATGAATGATATGATCCCTGTTTATAAATTCAAGTTGCATAAGGTCTTTTTAATTTTTACAAGCTTTCGTCTCTTCCTACAGACATCCTCAGGTATGGAAATAGATTTGTTCTTGTTTTTTAATTCTCGGTAATAAGAGGACAACGAAAATAGACATGAAATCCGAAAAAATGCTATGAGAAATGTGTTATTGTTTTGAAACGTGCGGTCGCAACGCTGAGTTTGAATTTAAATTTTAAGGTTGTGCGTTTTTGTACAAATATAGTAATAAGAGAATTCTTTTGTACTGGTAGGTTTTCCGTCAATATGGTATGAACTATATTGTTCAATAATTACAGGAATGTCACACTTATTATCCGAAAGTTGCACGTTGGATCAGTTATTTTAATTTCAATTATAGGTGCAATTATAATTTATAAATTCAAATTTAAATCATTAACCTCTATATTTGTTTTTTGTATTAATGATTTATGAATATATATATCTACACACACACACACACACACACACACACACACACACACACACACATATATATATATATATATATATATATATATTATTTCGTTCACCCGATCAAGGACACATGGCCCAGTGTATAAAAATTTGAAGAGTTAATTTCAAGGGAGATAATTGAGGCATCCGACCGATGGAACTAGAATGACCTACAAAATAAAGGGTTCAGCTACGAAATTGCGGAGAGTACAATGGCGAAAACGTCGTGAATATGCCAATAATGATGAGGACAACAGTCTGAACTACGTAAATAATGTAAATAGTCTTTGACACTGCCTAACAATAGCCAAAACTAGTCAAACGTTGGGGCTTATCGACACATAACGTTGAAACACCGAAGTTAAGCAACGTCGAGTCTGGTTAGTAGCAAGATGGGTGATCGCTTTGGGAATACCAGGTGCTGTGAGTTTCGATATTCGGTTATGGATTTATTAAGAATTGTTAATCGAAGAGCTGGGTTTCAATTGTCCTTGGGTTTGATATACACAGCAGGGAAGACATGTATCAACCTCTTCTGCCCTCAGCTATGGGTTAATTAGTAAGACTTGTATAAATAAATCATTATTATTGTTATGGGACCTTACCCATAATTACATAATGGACTATTCCATACGTAATAAATACTGCGACTCAAGAGGAAGCAGGGAGTTCAGTCCGAAGTCGGGCGAACGGCTGATCGGTTGAACTGTCTTCCTTCGGGCGGGGAGGAACCCGAACGAGGCTTGCCGAAGGGCGGAGTCTCTTTCGGGGAGGTAAACCGCCCCTGAACCCATTTAAAAGGGTTCAATGGGCATATTTTTGGCCGAGCCCACAGGCTCGGAGATCCCACGGGCTCGGAGATCCCACGGGCTCGGAGATCCCACGTTAAACCGGCCTTGTGTCACATGATGCCCTCGTGTCGGGGTGACTAAATACCGTTCAGTCTGAAGTCTGGAGTGAGGTCCGTCAGGAGTCTGTCAATCAGTCAGAGCGAGTCAGTCAGTCGAGTCAGAGGCAGTCCGAAACAGAGTCGTGTTCAGACAATTACTACTAAACCTGATTATTCGTACTAACACTTTCTACTTCTCTGTATATATTCCTGTTTGTAATATATCTGTGTTATTCCATATCCGTATTCGAGTTCTTCTTTATTGGTTCTACTATGGACTATCACCGTGGTACAAGGAACAGGACCATAACAATTATATAAAAAAATTTCATACAATCTAAAAGTATTTTCTGGCTTTAAATAACCTGCGAAAAAATGTTAAGCCGTAGAAAAGAGATCAATCCATCAAATCAAACATTGGATAATTTATATTTAGATATGTACCTGGAACCAAGAAAATGACCCGAAATATAGAAAAATAAATTGAAAAAAATGCTTAAAAAAGCATCTTGGTTGATCTTTAACCAAACATGTATAAATGAAGAACTACTGCTTAAATAAGTAACGTTTTTGTGTCGCAAAGCTGATCCGTGGATAGGTGAAGATATTTACATTATAGAATCAAATCTCTTTTAAAACTGAGATTTCATGGTCCGTGCATTTGTTGCTTTCTATGAAGACTTTATGCAGTTCATGAGTTCAACGTCGTCACAAAGCTCTGACTATCTCGAAGGGGTTCAATTATTGCAAAGGTTTCAAAAGTTCGCCAGAAGGAAATTGACATTTAAGTCAAAGAGCTGAAAGTGTCGCAACTCGACACAACCCAATTCGTTTGAACGCCTGCTCTATGATATAAATAGGTCTTGACCGTCACTTGCCACAAAAGCAAATCCCATTGAATACGGGTATCAGTG